AGTCACACACACAAAGAAATATGAGCCGCACTTCACAATTCTTCTAGCGATGATATCTCGCTTTATTCTAATAATTACACTAAATCTTATTAGTCTAGGATCTTATGCAATAATTCTATAGTTTGTAATTGAGAACGACCGCGAAATCCGCCGAGGAATTCGAGAGAGGTTGCAAGAGAATGTTACGTCGCTCTACGACGTACCGCGTGCTTCGTACGATAACTGCGTACAAGTCCCCGGGGTCCCGAGAAGGGATAGCGCACACTTCACGCGCGTATGGTCCTTAAATTTGATGCTGTTAATTTCCGGGAGATGAGAATGACCGTTTGATACAACCGAATTAGAGTTCACTTGATCAGATCCACGAGAATCTAAACGGAATATTCAGAGAGCGAAAACTGTTCTACAGGCAACGTGCGTCACGATAGACCGGTACTCACAGAATGCTCGAGGATTTCCGGAAGGGTCGATATAGGAGCGCGGATAAGGTCCTGAGAGCGTGCTTATGATTGGGTGATAACATTGCGCGAGACTAGTTAGATTGATAGGACAGGCTGCGGGATTGGGTCACGGCCGCGTACAAGAGGAAAAAGGAAGAGAGAGAGAATGCTAGAGAGAAGGACTAGAGTAAGTGAGATGCCGGTGCAAAGATTGAGAAAAGGGAGCGATATTTCCTGAACATTCCGCCCGCCTTCTACAACAGCGTTGAAGAATTATGATCTTGATGATGGTGAGGCCGGATCAGTAGTTGATTGCCTTGTGAGTGAGGGTTGATCTGGTGTCATCGGAAGCACTGCTAACTTGGTGATAGGCCGCTTGAGTTCTGTGGTGGCCGTCTTGAGGGTGACCACTCTGCATAGACCGTCCGAACCAAGATGAAGTTGTGTGACCCGAGCAAGAGGCCATTTGGATGGAGGGAATCTCTCATCCGTGAGAAGTACAAGAGAGCCGACCTTGATTTGCGTGGAGGGATGATGCCATTTCGATATTGCAAGCTGACGTTGAAGACATTCAGCTGACCAACGCGACCAGAAGTGTTGGAGTTGCTGCTGAATGAGCTGCAACCGAGACAGCCTTGTGAGAGGCACTGAGGTGAGAGATGGCTCAAGAATTGTTGTTGGCGCTGCTCCGATGATGAAATGCCCGGGAGTGAGGGCTGCCAGGTCTTTCG